TGCACTGAATGAAAAATAAGCAAAATGAGTTAAACAGCTTCACATCACAGAGCATGGCACTACCAGACAGAAATTTCTACTTAGATAATTGTTTGCAAAGACTCATTATGGGCAAGAAATAGCCTCAAAACATTGACGGGTCTTCTGAGATTCTCTTTGTATGTATTTCTTCAAAATTCAGAATCTCATTGACAAAATCTTACAAGCGAATGAGTATTAGGAGTCCTTGCCCTGACACAGGCCTTCTGGAACTGCTGGCACAGAAATATCTCGCAAATACCATGTTTAAGGTTTGACATCTCAGCTATGTCAAAACTGCAGTGGGAAATAATCTGGAGAAAAAGTTATTAGAAAAAAGCATTTTTGAAATGATTTTTTTAAATGCGGTTTGGCACTGCTTAAACTGACTCGCAGTATAAAGTGAAATTCTGCCCTCATTAAAAAGGGGAAAACCTGAGCTTCAAAAGTACTATGTCTGGCTAATCATGATTGGATCAGATAAAGCTCCTGCTTAAGGAAATTAAGTTCATTTCTGATTATCTTTTATCTTCTACCAACCTGAAATGTGCTATCTAGACTATCTAGCAGAAAACAAAATACTTGAAAAGAGAGAGAAGTTTTCTGAACAAGTCACAGTTGTTATTTGGGCATCAGTGACGAGATGTGCAAGCAGATGCTTCACATGCACCCTGCACTTGGGAAGTCACTGATTCTCTTCCACTGTTTTAACCATGCGGCTTCCAGAACTACATCTTTCCATCCTTTGAAACATTTCATGGCATGGCATCAGCTATCTCTCCTCCCCACCAAAGTCCTGCTCAAAGCTGTAAAAAGCTCTGGACCGTTCGTTGGGTTTTTTTAGCAATTCTGCCATGCCATACAGTGAATCTGTGGTTCAGATTAAACAATGTGGAGGTGAAATCAGACAATGCCAAAAAATTCTGTCTAAAGACAAAATGAAAACAATGGAAATAAAAAACAAATACCCTTCTAAGCATCAACTTCAGAACTAGGTTTCACGTTTCTCCGTTAAACTGATGCCTGAGAGCATTAGAAGTCTATGAAATTCCCAGGGGTTTTCAGTGCAGTTCTTTGGAACTAACAGCAGAATAATTGATGATTCAGTCTCCTGCACTACTCATAACCCTTCAGTCCCTTCCTTTCAGTCAACTTCTAGACATACACAAATTAACAAAATAAAATAAAAAAGCTTTGACTGTGAGCTCTTTACAAAGGGTGAAGCCATTAGCAAAACTGTTGCTGATTCCGCAAGCAGCAGCATCAGGTCTCAGGGGCAAAAACCTGGCACTGATGAAGTCAATGACAAACCTTTCACTGACTTCTGGGAATGTGAATCTCCATGGCTATGAATTTGACTTTATGCCTGTGCTACATAAAATAGTTCTACTAATAAAAACCAGGGTGCTTCATCTGCCTTTTTCAAGCATCAAAGGCTATGTCTATAATACATAGACAATGTGGACCAGCAGGAGAAAAAAGCCTGGTGCTGAGGACAGAAGGTCCACACCACGCACCTTTCAAGAGGTTTTTCTTTCACTCTAGCCTAGTCCTATGGGTTGAATGCCTACCAGACTGCGCTTCTGCAGCACATCTTCCAGTTCTGTTTCATTTGAAAGGAATTCAGCCCATGAACTCTGGGACTGCTCCACAATGCACACAGTATGCGAGGACCATTAGGAGATGCATTTCCAACGCACACTCCTGATTTGACCTAACACGCTAATGTAGATGCATCCAAAGAGCTCAGAACATGTTCCTGCATTAAAACCTCTAAAATTAAGGAGTACCAAGGTCAGGAAGAGGTTTACCTCCCTCTCGGTTAATAGGACTCACAGCCTTCAATGAGCTTCACACACATGCAGCAACCTACAGTGAAGATGAGTTTTACAGCAGCAGGCACTGTGTTTCTGATTCCAAATACGTTCATTTCCCACCTGCTTGACCTTGTCATCTTCAGGATTTTTATTCAATTAGCTCTCCACATTTAGAAAGCTTTTCTTTGTAGCTTAATATTTTATTTTCAGAAGAGTTTGTCAATCTTTACTGTCTGTTCTACTGACAAGCGTCTTCTTTTCCTTGACAACTTTGCAAAGTACCCATTATTGCATTAAAAAGATCATCAGATGTCTCATACGCTTGTGATAAACTGGCCTCCTTGCCCTCTTCACTTGGGCTCTCCCTCCGCCTTCCCAGTTTTATACTAGTCAAAAAGATTTACTTCTCTTCTAAAAAATAATATATAAATAAATACATTGCGAGTCACAAACATTAAATACTTAATTTGAACCGGCAGAAAGACCAGCTACCGGAATTCTACTGTGGTCTGTTAGCTCGTATGTCTCTGCATGTGCATATTGAAGGAAACAGCAGAAATAATACTTTACAATTTGATGAACAACATATGACACAGAACCTCTGGACTTGCAAAAAAGGGTTACAAACTTAGGAAAATACCTGCCGTATAAAATTCCGCCCTCTCCAAGAAAAAAACCCTACACACTCCTTACTTTCACTTTTTCACCATCTTTAAGGCTTGATACACAACTAAATTGGATTAAAGAAGAAAATAATCACTAAGGACTTAAGTTTGGGTGATAAAAAGGGACATTTTCTAAGTACATGTTGGATGTCAAAACAGAAAGGATGATACTGTGCTGTCTGCTTTTAGGCAGAGTCCTCCCTTGATTTCAACTATAAGCTTTGCTTATAGTTGGCACCATAATGGCTTATAATAATGTAACCACATTTCTTTCTGGAGCAAAATGTAACATCACTCTCCATTTCATCATGCACAGAGGAGGAACCCATGACCCTAATTTAAACTGGAAAGAGAGAAGAAAGAGAGGGGAAAAAAGGCATATTTGATTCTCACAGTCTATAGAATTATCTCAATGCAAGCTGCAGATAGGAGCGTTATCTCTGAAAATCACAAGAAGCAATCATATTGTCAGAATAAGCAAACAAAAAGACTGTGCTTTCAACAGGCACAACAGCAAAGTAATACCAAGTTTGAAAATATGTCTTAGTTTCAAAAAAAATGAGTGAAAGTGTTGTAAGTATCGGTCTCACAATAAAGTAATGCATACACCTACTAGATAACCAATAATTCCCATTTCTGCAGATCAGATTCTTCACCCAACAAACAGCCCATACTAAACTTAATGCTCCACTGATACTGCCTGTTCTTTCTTCCCCATAAAGAGACAAAAATAAAAGGGAAACATTCTAGTCTAAAAGATGCCGCAAGTGTTATATTTAGCCCTTTTCACTGAAAACTCACCTTAGTTTCTGACTATGAGCGCTTGGGAGAGAAAATCTTTTTAACATTTCAGACTGCTGCATTTTCCCTTTTCGCAGAGCTCTTCAACCGTCCCTATTCAACTGTCACACATCCCTAATGCAGTGGCGATGGCCTGCCTGTTTAAATTCCGCTCATAAACCAGCTATTTCTGCTGCTTCCCCTGGGACTGCACCCAAGGTGAGGATCAAGCAAGCAACACTCAGCATCCACATGTGCCAGGTCGGAGCTGGATGGGAGGAAGCAGACAGTAACCGATCCATGTTTTACCGCACTCGGCATTTGCCTTCTGCAAGCCGCCTTTGAGAAGATCACCAGCACAGGTACGTTTGAATACACCACCTTTTTCCTAATGCCAGTGAGCCTCTTCATGTACCTGAAATCTGCCTGACTTAAAAACTACAGGCATAAGCAATACATCTAGTACGTAACGGTCTGTTTTCTCCAAAGAAATATCCTGGGGTACTTTATCACTGGACAACGCTACAGAACTAGTTCTTAATGACCGTTAAAGCCACCTCTCCTGTGCTTAGCTTAGTGGAGAACCTCAGCTGTAGTTTTAAGTACCTTCTGGTGCTGTTTGAGCTTTTGCAAGCACATACTTGTACAGCTGTGTTGTTAACATCTATGCAAAAGAACTGAACAAAATGAGGGAAAAAATGACAGGACCGCAGAGAGGAAAGAGAAGGCAGAGTAAAATAAGGGAGCAAAATTGAGATGGGGAGGGATGGATTTGAAAAAGAAGTTTCAAGAAAAATAATGACCAGATAAAGGGAAAGGGAACTAGAAAAGGGAAATCAGAAATGTTAACTTGTGATGGAGCACATGGCCACACCTTCGTACCTTCTAACACCCAACCATGTTTTCCAAGTGACATCCCCATCATTTTTCTATTGAAAGCCTGTGCATAGGTGAAAGACGTGCAGAGGAGAGGTGCACAAGACAGACTCTCATTAGCTGTAAACATCAGTGAGAACACAGAATTTCAAGTATCTGAGACAGAAATCTTCCCATGGCCAAAGAATCAAAACACGCGTCTGATAGCTATGTCTACAGACTAAACGGCCAGGGAAAGGGGAAACTTTTAATGCAACATATTACCAGTCACTACAACTGTATGAGGCATGAAGATGGCCCAGAATGGAAAAACTGAATTCTAAGTGCAAGTATCCTGCTGCTCATTTTTGCTCTCTCACTGGATTTAAGGAAAATATGCTGTGTTTCCAGGCAATGTACGACAAAGACGTTTCAGTTTTTAAACTTTATCTTGTGCACACTACATCTGAATGTTATCACCTCTCTTAATCACCTTCTGATGTCTGATAGTGCCCCCTTAACCTTTGTTACTCAATTACTGAACAAGTTATCTCATTGTTACTCTCTTTTGAAGGAAGAGTTGTGCCTCTTTTCATGCTGATAACAGACACATAAATATTCACTCCCAGCAAACATTTAATAGTAAAGTGACTTGAGCAAACTACCAGAGTCTAAAGGTAGGAAGCTGTGGTTAACTTCTCTGCTATCTTAACCCTTTAGTCAAGCCACCAGAACAAACAGACACAGAAGATGGATGCTCTTTTTTACAAATGAAGCAGAAATAATTGTTCTCTAAAAGAATGGACTTTATAACATGCTTTATAACACAGCAAATAAATCAAATGATTGGAAGTGAAATACCTACCCATTTTCTGGGCCGGCCTCTGGGTCGCTTTTCACCAGTGGCTTCTGCTTTCTGTAAAGGGAAAAGAAACATAACATATTTTATACTTCAGCATTATTTAACAGCCTCAGTAACTAGGAACTCCTTTCCTGTAACATTATTCATAATTATATCTCTTGGGTGGCACCAAGCCCCCCTCCCGCTCTATGGGTTTTCTGGTGGAATGTATTTATGTTGTTTTTTCTGACATTTCCTAGCCAGTGTGGCCAGGAGATGCCTCCTCACCTGCGCCCAAGGGTGCCCCCAGCCCTGATCCACACTGTGTCCAGGCCCACACTCACCCAGCTGCTGAGTGCCCGCAGTACAGCCTGGGGTGCCCCGGCCCCGGCCAGCCATGGGGCGTGCAGGCTGTGGATGGGGGTGCAGAGCAGCTTGGGAACCCGAGAACCCCCAAGAACATCAAATCTAGTCTTTCATAGGCTGTCAGAAATTACCTGCAGACACTAAATGAAAAATACAGACTGTTTCAAGCCTGAACAAAGCAGTTTATAGCAGCCACAATTTCTTCTTTTAGTCTCATGATGTTCATACATGAAATGGATTTGGACAGACTATCACCATGAACATGTGTGTGTTCATATTGGGAGATAACATCCCTACTTCATGTGAAGTTCTCCAGGTAAAAACACATCCTTAAGCTGTAAGCAAACCTTTCTCTGGTCCAAAACACACCTTCCCTTTTCAGGTTTAAGGAAACGGCATGGAACGTGCCCTAGAAGTAACAGCTCTATTTATGTAAGCCCAGCAGCTGGTCCTGGAGCTCAGCATAAAGGAAATATGGGTTCTCTTAACAGACTCTTCCATTAATTCACTGCGTGACACTGTGAATACTACTACTTATGCGCTACACTAAAATACTTACAGGCTTTAAAATGAAAATTGCAGGTTATTTTCTCTAGATAGGCTCTGCCTATCCATACACCTCATCAGGTAAATAATCCTGTCCCACTGAGGGTGATGAGGATTTTGCCACCAGCTTTAGTAAGAGCTGGACTTTTGCTGCATACAAAGTCCCTGGGAATGAAGACTTTTAGTACACATTCAGTAAATGTGCTTCCATATTTCCATGAATTGCTTTTTTTTCCAGTTAACTGTATGTGTATTTGATTTGCCCTTAGAAATCAACTGTGTCACTAAATAAATCACTTGCTGGTCAATCTCTGTAACATACACTGTAACCTAATGCTGTGTAAAGCGGATCCCTCTAAAAGAGAACTTGAGCTGAGGAAGTAGTGGAGGAATCTCTGCAAAAAACTGCCCTGTGAGTTAAATGCAATTACTTTGAAATAAATATCTCACCAAGAAGAAAGCTGTGAAAAATAAAATTCACACTCCTAAAGGGCAAAATTATCACTCAGACTTGTTAAAAGAGTAAACTTGCTCTTTAATCGTTTATACCAGTGTTACATGTAAGGTGAAACCCTCTTATGAGAATACTTGTTAAAGTGCATTTACTATATACTGTAGCTGTCTATTTCAGAGCTTTTTTTCCTTTTAAAGGGTTCATTTCTTTATACCTTATAACCTGAAGGATGCAAAAAAAGATGCGGTTTAGTTTTGACAAGCGGTAGCCCCCTGCATTTATGTTTATTTCACGAAAGGCTGGGCATAAATCTTAAAAGAAAATATTAGTTAAATTTGTTCTTAACAAATCAACACCTGACATGTTATCAAAGCACAAATGCTATTTATTATCTTCTGTATTTTACCGCATCTAAAGGAAGGACCCTTTTCCAAAACCCTAGGGAAAAAAAAATAACTTTTTGGAAACAAAAACTACTTTGGTCTCACAATTAAAGTTCCTACAAACCTGACACAAATTGTAAGTTTAACTACAGCGTATAATCTAGTTTGATGGGAAAGAGAACATGAGAGATTTCTTTGAATAACTAATCCTTGCTTCCTGCCATAAACTGTCACGCAGCATGGCCGCTTGCCATGAACAATGCTGCGCTTTACCCCCGAGGAAGGCCCATGTCAGAAGTGGCTAGTGTTCCCGCTGGCTAGTTTGGATATCAGTTTGTCAAGTGCTTGGGGACCTTTCAGATTGAAAGGCGCTAAAAAAAAAACTGTATATGATTTCCACCTCACGTTAGAAGAAAAACATTTCCATAGTTCTTATCAAAACCAAATCTTTCCCAGAGGTGAGCTGAGCAAACAGCGGGGCATGCCAGAGACGATGTTTTGGTACAGAGCGATTCTGTAAGTAAATAGGAAGGTTTCCACAGACTAAACTGCAGAAAACGAAGGACAAGAACCTCCAAAGTGGATGTTTTTATCTCCATTCCAAGGGAAGAGAAAGACAAAACACTTCTGGAACAACCAAAAAGAGTAGTGGCAGTGGCACTTTAATTTAAGCACTTGAAAGGTTTTACTGCATATCAGACAAATAATTCAATGTTTCTCTATATAATTTTCAAGTAATTAATAAGGAACACGTAAGTGCCAAAGCATTGCCCTTCCTCTGAAACAGGTATTCGCATAATCGGAAACACGCCGGTCTGTTGGCTCATTGCTCTAATTGAAGCGTTGCCTCTGAAGCTGGGAACAAACCCGGAGAGAGCCCCAAGCCACCCAGAGGTAACACGGATTCTCAGCTGGGCAATAGGCGCACGTGTTCCCAGCCACCCTACACGCAGCAGCTGGTACCTGCTCAGTCAGGAGGGAAGCTGCTGCCTCTGTCCTCGAAAGCGCTTTTTGAAACCGAGATGTGTTTGGTCAGCGTTTTCTTAACATTTGGTGCTACACTATGAGGCGTGATCTTGCTCTATACAGCCAAGACATGAAATCACCAAACTTAAAGGAGGGTCGGGTATGTTATTAAACACAAGTTTATGATATTTCATGAAAAATCATGAAATTTCTTATAACCAATAATATGAATACATCATTTTTGCCACGTCACATTTTAGGAACAGAACTAGATTTACCCACTTTTAAGTGCATGATCTACACGGGAAATGGTGGGATTTTTTGTCCCAGGTGGGAAAGAGGGCCATTCCAGTCATTGCTGCCAGGAAGAGAGCTAACAGTCCCCAGGCAGATTTGCAATTCACCTAAGCCCTGTACCACAGGGCCATCAAACCCTGCTTCCAAACAGCTGCTGTCAGCAACCCTAGGACCTGACTGCCCATCATCTCTGCCTTCTTGCTGCATAAATCTGCCGTGCCCAGACAGAAACTGAGGCTGTACTACTGAAAGCCATTAACAAGACAAGACAAGTATAAATAATTGAACGGCTATAAAGTGCTCTTTGGGCATCTATCTATTGTCAAGGAAGATCTCAAATGCAACAGAATCCAAATTTGGAGAACTCTATCCACTTTGCAAAATGATCTGCTGAAGACCTCAAATAAAACATGTCAGAGCTGTAAGACAGGTGAAATATCCGAGAGTTTTCGTGAGGAAGATCACTGCTGTCAAACCGTGTCAAAAGACCAGGACTGTGTCCCTCTCCTAAAAAGAACTTATTTTGTTTTAAAAAAACTCTTAAAAGAAACTTAGGCATCGGCTAGATACAAAAATATCACACTTCCCATGTCCTGTTTTACCGATTTTAATTATAAACAGGAGTCGGTCTGCTCCTGCTTCTCCCATCTTACTCAAAACGCCTGATTTTGAGGTCTCTTATTTTTTAGGCACAATAACCACGCTACGATCACTTGATAAATCTGATCTTGTTTTCTCTTTAAGCCTGTAATGACTGGTGTTGGTGAGAATGAATGAAGCATGGAGAAGCCAAATAGATTTTCATGAACCAATTCAGGGCAGAGTCCTGGTCACATGTGCCTTTTTTTTTTTACCTTTGGACTGCTTAACTCAGGGACATGCCTTTCTACATACCAAACTCTGGCCATGTAATGTAGAGACAGTAGTAAGCGTAGTCACACACAGTACCCCAAGTTCTGGTTTTCAGAGGATCTTTCAGGACCTGGAGGTATTTTCAGTGAATTTCACTACATCAATAACTATAACAAAACTCAGAACAGTTTAACTGAAGGTGAATTTTACTAAAGAGCATTTACTTTTGGATATTCCTGGGATATCCCTTGACATTTTCTTTTGAGACAAACACATAGTAGCTACTACTCCTTCTTTTTTTTTAACCTCACAATTGTGTTTCCTTCTTCCAAACAGGAGAGTATTTATGCCTATACAGTATTTTTGTCAAGCCCAACTACAAGAGCCTAACAAAGAAAAGCCCTTGAATACTTAAGGGAAATGTGATGGGCTGGGAACACAGCTCAGCCTAACAAATAAAACTCAATCACAGAACACCCAGGAAACTAAAAAGGAACATCCCTACTAGGATCTTCCCGCAAAAGTAGTCGTTCTTTAGAAAAAAAAGAAAATCTTTGCTTTTTTGCTAATTTTTTACAAATATTTTAAATGACTAACAGAATGACTTGTTTGAAGACCCAGACTTCAGTAACAGCCCAATTGTGGGGACTCAAGTATAAGGTGATTAAGAGCCTTTTTGTGTCTATCTCTTCTCATCTGCTAACATGTTGTGTTCCGTTCGTGAAAAATCAAACAACTGAGAAATGGTTTGCTTTTCTATAAAATACAGTTTACCTTTTGTGTTCAGTTTGTAACAAGGTAAGCATGTGTGATATGCAAGGCTTTTAAAAAAATGCGTATTACCTAAAATTAGAGTAATTGCCACATTATTAACTGTCCAATTGGTCTTGCAACATTCTGTATGCATTGTCAAGTTTCACATTGCTAATTTCCTAACAAGCACAGTTTGTTTTCAGATGCCCCAAGGCCAGTTTACTAAGACCAAACACAAGCTCTGAAAGCTAAAAAAAAAAAAAAAAATCCCATGAACCAAGAAATTTTAAATACACAACACAACCATGATTCCAGGGTAAATTGTCCCTCAACTGATTTAAGGGTATTTCCTTTTTGAAGTATAACAAAACAAAGTCCCAGTTCTGGAGTATTTTTAACTCGCTGCCAGTTTGTGCAATACATTTTTAATTGTGATGTGTAATGGTTTGCAAGAGAACACCCAATCAATTAATCATGAGTGCCTTCTCATGGCTGCTCGGTGGGTTCTCCTGGCCGACGTTTATCTTACATGTTGTGAACACTCTAATACATTTCAATGAGCTCCCTTTGAAAAACACAGGCCACACACTATTCTTTAGAAATTCCAGCAATTTCCAGTTGCGTGTATAGTACCCAGGTTCACATGTAGAGGGGCTTCAGCTGAGTAAGCCAGCTCTCTTTCTGAGAGTTGAGACAGGCTGTAGAAAGCCTTAAATAAATACATGTATGCATATGTATGTGTAAATATGTTTACCACAAAATCAAACATATAGCTCACTCTTTTAAGAGGTGATACCCTCACTACCAAATGAAGCTTTCTTACAGTGCCAAAACCTTTCCACTCATATTACTGTTAGAAAAACTATCGAAATTAATATTACATAAAAAGATACTTTGAGATGCCTGGTGAGAAGGTGAGCCATTTTAGAGAGGGTTAATTATCAATTTGGAAAGAGAGCTAAAATATTTATTTGAAATGTGACCTCAGTAACTTTCTTCTAGTAAGGTTTTATAAGTGTTTTATATTTTAGAGGATTTATCAAACATTTATGTATTTTATCTATAAACCTAGGAACAAATGAGACTTGTAATTACATACCCCTCAAAGATTTTTTTTAATGATAAAAAAGACCTGTGGTCTTTGGTCAATTTTTTATATTACCAACACCCGAAAGGGTTTGCTTTAATTAGAGCAGTAACTTGATGCATTTTGAAAATCAAAACGTTACAATGAAATTGCTCAGTTCGTAAATTAGATTTAAAAAAACAACTATATGCACCAGAATCATCTGGAAAGCTCTTGATTTGATATACCTACATATATATGAATGTTTTTAAGTTATTTTCCATTTATACTGATTTTCAAAATCACTCATATAAATGAAATAATGTTAATATTTCTTTTAGAAATATCTTTTTAAAACACATTTCTATGAATTACTTAAAATTTAATCTTATTACAAATATTTCTCCTAGGAAAGCCAACACTCCTAAGAGTAATATTTAAAATACTAAAGCTCACATTTGGACTTGCTAGACTAATAAAAAACTGCTCTCTCCCTTTTGAAGAGTGAAATTTAAACTATTTTAAAGTGAATCTGAGGAACATTTTTACTATATAAAGAAAAAAATCAACATTTTAAGCTCACTACGTTGCAGAGTGGCTTTGATATATTTTAAATACTTAACCTGTAAAGCATTTTTTACTAATTCATGAACTTATTGACAGAATATACTGCTTTTTTCTAGCTCAGAACGTAGAAAACAATTTTAAATGTAAAGAGAGTTGGAGAACGTCCCTCAAATAAATGTTGAAAACACTTATAACGAAACAGACATGAAACCATAGTCACCCCCTAATAATTTAATATTTATCAGTATTTGCTACAGTAATTTATAACACTGAAAACTATCAAACTTAATATGGTCAGTACCATAGGCATATTGAAAAATGAACCATAATTAGATGAGGCCACAAATACCTTCCACACACATTTTGTCAGAGATCTACTTAAAAGATACTGATACACTTAAGCACTACAGTTCACTACCAGATTTTGTAAGCTTTTGTTTCCAATTTAGTACCTGTAAATTAGAGCTAACTGCTGTGTAACCATCAACATAAACAAAACTCCCGTATTTATTTTCAAGCCTATACACAACTCTTTGCCTTCACTAAAATAATTCATACAGAAAAGTATTATTTGCCTTGAGAGCACAGCTTTCTAATGCTGAGCTTTCCCCAACTCAAATAAAATTAAGCCACATTTTCACGTTGTATTTGTGATGTGAAGTCCATGCACTAAATGCAGTGACTTCAGTGAGCTTCCCCTATAGCTACATGCATTCAGAACTACCAGAATAAAAGTTTGCTCCCATCACCAAGCAGAAGCAGTGGTTCAGAAGACTAATAGCTCTTCAAGTAAAAGTCTCTTTGAAACTGATTACTAAACAAGATATAGTAGGCTTTTACTGTAACTCACAGTTTATCATCACATTTAAAAGCTGTAAATTTCAATATATGCACTTATTTCCATCAACACTTAATTGGATTTACTTCTAATTAACCTATGTTTGACAAAACACTTAGCTTTAATATGCAGATTTGGTCTGTAGTAGTAATGACTGTAAGCGGGCAAGAAATTCATCTTCCTCTTTCAAAAATCTTAATCGAGAAAATAACATCCTTAATATTGATTTCCTTACTAGATACAGGAGATCTCAGTAAACACATCAAATACATTATGTTATTTCACTAATCTGTACACTATTCAAAGAGCAAGCTGCCCTTACAGGTTCTGTACCTAGGGTCTTCATGCAGCATGTTAATTCTCATCTTAAAAATGCAAAATACATGCTTTATGTAGCTTCCATTATTAAAAGGGTTCCAACCCCTCAGTTCACAGCCTAAATGACTGGATTTTTTGCTACCAGTTGATGAAAAAACAGCATTAGGAACTCTCTCTCTTTAATAATCTCACCTTCTGAGCTGCTTTAGAGGGACTCTTGTTTTTGCTTCCTTTGGGTCTTCCTCTTGGTCTTTTAGGAGATGGTTCACCAGTTGGTTCCTAAATACAGGAAAACATGCTATTGTGGCAAGAGACTACGCTAACCCAGAAGATCTGAAGGACAAACTATAACTGAGAAGTTACTCAAAACGTATGAATTAACAGTATAAATAAATAACACAATATTTAAAATGCAACATGAAAAATTAAACAACTCGAGGTAAAGAAAAAAGTATATTTTGCACAATAAAAGAGTTTAACTTCCCTTGTAATTGCATAAAAAACTTTGAAAAGTTTGCATATTCTAGCATGTAAGTTATAGCTGAAAACACATTTTTAAAAGAAGATGGCTATGATTTCCCTCATGTAACAATGATTATTCAAAAAATTACACAGTTACCCGTGTAATTTCAATTGCATTTCATTATAGCAAGATACAATTATCACATGCAGTTTCTAGCACAAACTTTGGGGGAAAAAAAGAGTTAACTACTGGAAAACTGGAAAATAAGCCTAGACTATTTTCTCTCTCAAGGGCACAAATATTTTGGAGGGATTTTTTTTCTCTTGCTCTGCAGTCGGCATTCTATTCACACCTATTCTAAATATAATTGATTTGTATTAAAATGCAAACGTGAAAGTTTCTTCAAATAGAGCACTAGCAAGCCAAAAAAGCTCGACGAAAGAAAATATCCGAAACAAAAACCCAACTCTGAAACGACTCGACAGGAACACTGATTATTTTAGCAATTTTCTTAACTAGCTCCTCTGCCTGACAGTAAATAACCAGTCCTTAAAAACGGGTATGAATTACTGAGAGTTCAGATTCCAAATATTTATTCAGTGAATCATAAATACTATAAAACTCTTCTAGTCTTAAATATTATACATTTCATTCAGATTATAGGATGTGGTAAAACTAATTAAATGCAGTTTGTTAACTTAAACCAGCTTAAAACCCTTCAGCTTTTTAATTCCCGGGTAGGTTAAGGGGAGGCTGGAGAGGGGACTCCCTAACTGCTCCAGCTCTCAGTGGCGAGCCTCGCAGGCACTGCACATCTGGGCTGAACACGGTTAAGAGGACGCACTTTTCTTTCTCTTCCATACATTCAAACGCTATAGGGGAGTGAAGG